TCATGAGCGAGGCTGGTAGGGCCTCCCCACGCTCGCCATGGCATGCTCCCCAGGCTCGCCAAGGCCTGTGAGCCCTCGGCCCATCTGCGAGGGCATTGCCATCTTCCACGGAGCCAGCTCCTGCTCGGCACTGCTGCGCGGCCAGTCTCCAGGCCCTCCTGGCCCCTCAGCCGAGCGCCAGCCACCCCGTCCCTGTGGCACAGCCGACCTTGCCCGGCTCGGAGGAAGCGTTGCCGTGCCTCTGGGGAGAAGCCCTGCTTCCTTGGCAACCACATCCCCCATCCAAGCCGGCACTGCAGCTGGGTCTCCGACTGGTGGTACTGTCGTCCCGTCAGATGATCGATTTGGGGTCGTGGGGGCGTCTGGGGGCCTGCAGGTTCCAGCCTCCGCATTCTGGCCTCCGCATTATGGCAGGCGAGTTAGTGGATGACGGTGCCGGAGGAGGTGCGGGACAGGGTAGCAAGTCCAGGCGCACAAGGGCCTGGTGGTGACTGATGGCTCCTGTCATCACGGACGGTGCCCATGGGGGCGGCCAACGACTCCTCGGGGAGGGGCACGCCGCGGGTTCTGGGGCAGTCATACTGATGGCAGGGCCTTCACTTTGCACCTGAGGGAGCCCACAGAGGCAGCTTTGGGGTATCTGCCAGAGGAAGTCACCAGGTCATCTGGTCTCATGTTCTTAAAAGCTATTGAGAACCCCCAAAAGCTTTTGTTTATGAGTGTTGTATCTGTCAGTATTTACCATTGGAAATTAAGAAATTCTTTAAATATTTACTTATTAATATTATTTGAATGGGGGCTTAGAGGTTTAGACTTTGTGCTTCCACTGCAGGGGGTGCAGGTTCGATCCCTGGACGGAGAACTAAGATCCCACAAAACATGGAGCGTGGCAAAAAAAAAAAAAGACCTTCTTGAGTAAAACTGACCTTTTAAGGAAGTGACCTCTCTGGGTGAAAGCAGCAGTAACCTCATGGTCCCCAACAGCCCAGAGTCTCCAGGGCAGCTGAGCAGCTGCCAGCCATGCCCTTGGGGCCACGGTCTGGGGAAGTCACCGTGTCTGGGCACGTCGCAGAGCCCAGCAAGTCACGGAATGCTCTCTTCCGGTCCAGGCTCGGTCCTGGGTTTAGGGAGCTGGATTCATCGCTGTCCTGTCTTAGGTCATCAGTGCCTGTAGAAGCAGCGGCCTTCCTCTAGCACCTGCTCACCATCCCCGAGGGCTGGCCAGAGTAACTAAGGCTGTGATTATCTGCCCTGCTCCTGTAGGCCAGGAACCACCAGGTTTCCATTACCAGCAGGCGTTCCCAACTTTCAACCCCAAACAGGCCCGATAACAAATTCTAGATTCCTCTAAGACTCTTGCTTGCAACCACTCTTTTAGAAGAAACCGGCTCGTTTAAAGGGAAGTTCAATGGCTCAGCAGTAAATAATCTGCCTGCAATGCAGGAGGAGAATGCAGAAGACTTGGGTTCAATCCCTGGGTCGGGAAGACCCCCTGGAGGAGGAAATGGTAGCGCATTCCTGTGTTCTTGCCTGGAGAGGCCCACAGGCAGAGGCGCCTGGCCAGTGCAATCTGGAGGCGAAGCCAAGCCTTGCCTCTGCGGGCTCCTCAGCTGCCCAGTGCCCTGAGGCCCCCAGCAAGACCAGTAATGCCGAGTAGACTGGAACATGAAATCCCTGGCCCTCTTCCCAACCCTGGGGCCTGTTTGGAGACGGCCAGGTTACAGGCTGCAGGGCCACAGAGAGGCGTGGGGACCTGGGGTCAGAGGCGAAGGTGGCCACTTCTGCTGTTCACTGTGGAGGCACCCCTTGGGTGATGACTTTGAGCACAGAGAGACAGTCAGTCTAGCATCCCCCCAACCCCAGCCTCCTCGGAGACCTGCCTCCTCTCCACTCTCAGGAAGGCAGAGAGGCCCCGTCACCCACATGCAGTCCAGGTTCAGAGCCCTTGGCCTGCCCCTCCAGAGGCCCCTGCACCTCACAAGCCGCTCTAGGGAAAGGACCCCCTCGGCGCCCTGCACCTGCCCTGCCTGAGTTCAAAGTCTGGGGGTGGGGGCACAGCTGGCAAGGAGGCCTGAGGATGGTGCAAGGGGGCCCAGAGCAAGCAGGCGTGCTCCAGGAGGAGAGGAGGCAGCAGAAGAGTGCTCCAGGCGTGAGTGGGGAAGAGCCTGGGCAGGGCCTCTTTTTAAATGTATGTGTAAAATGGGCCAAAGATCTAAACAGACATTTCTCCAAAGAAGACATACAGATGGCTAACAAACACATGAAAAGATGCTCAACATCACTCATTATCAGAGAAATGCAAATCAAAACCACAATGAGGTACCATTACACGCCAGTCAGGATGGCTGCTATCCAAAAGTCTACAAGCAATAAATGCTGGAGAGGGTGTGGAGAAAAGGGAACCCTCTTACACTGTTGGTGGGAATGCAAATTAGTACAGCCACTATGGAAAACAGTGTGGAGATTTCTTAAAAAGCTGGAAATAGAACTGCCATATGACCCAGCAATCCCACTTCTGGGCATACACACCGAGGAAACCAGATCTGAAAGAGACACGTGCACCCCAATGTTCATCGCAGCACTGTTTATAATAGCCAGGACATGGAAGCAACCTAGATGCCCATCAGCAGACGAATGGATGAGGAAGCTGTGGTACATATACACCATGGAATATTACTCAGCCATTAAAAAGAATTCATTTGAATCAGTTCTAATGAGATGGATGAAACTGGAGCCCATTATACAGAGCGAAGTAAGCCAGAAAGATAAAGACCATTACAGTATACTAACACATATATATGGAATTTAGAAAGATGGTAACGATAACCCTATATGCAAAACAGAAAAAGAGACTCAGATGTATAGAACAGACTTGTGGACTCTGTGGGAGAAGGCGAGGGTGGGATGTTTCAAGAGAACAGCATCGAAACATGTATATCTAGGGTGAAACAGATCACCAGCCCAGGTTGGATGCATGAGACAAGTGCTCAGGGCTGCTGCATTGGGAAGACCCAGAGGGATGGGATGGAGAGGGAGGCGGGAGGGGGGATCGGGGTGGGGAGAACATGTAAATCCATGGCTGATTCATGTCAATGTATGGCAAAATCCACTACAATATTGTAAAGTAATTAGCCTCCAACTAATAAAAATAAATGAAAAAAAATGTATGTGTATGTGCATACATGCACTTTACTACTTATTTGGCTGCATGCAGGATTTCCTTTGGATCATGCCTTGGTCTTTAATTGAGGCACATGGACTCCACAGTTGCCGCTCAGCTCGCAGGCTCCAGCGTGCACCGGTTCAGTTGCTCTGCGGCATGTGGTCCCCAACCAGGGATCCAAACCCCATCTCCTGCAACCACCGGGCACCCAGGGAAGTCCCAGGCAAAGCCTCTGGTCACACTTGACCCCTCCTGCTGCCAGGGCACCGCAGGGCTGGGTGCTCAGGAGGGGTCTGAGCAGGACAAGAGGGTCTCACTGGGCAGAAGGGCAGGGAGGCAGTGGGCAGTGCCACCTCCACAGTCACAACCCGTGGACATTCAAGAAATGATTGGGTCTTCAGCCCCCAGCACGTGCATTTGGAATACCACTTCCCACTCCCAAAGTGCCTTGGAGAAAGGACCAGTTCCATATCCACATCAGCCCCTGCGGTGAGCTGGAAATGGCCCGCAAAGTTGTCTACATCCGACCTCTGAAACGTGTGAGCCTCACTTGGAAAAAGCACCTTGTGGATATAATCACGGACTGTGAGATGAGGAGGTCTCCCTGGATCATCTGGGTGGGCACTGAGTGCCGTCACAAGTGCCTTTATAGAGAGGGACGGAGCGGGACACAGAGAGGCAGCAGTGTGAAGGCAGAGAAGGTTCCGCCAGCCACGAGCCGGGGGTGCTGGCTGCCACCTGGGAATGGACGCCCTGGAGGAGGCACTGCTGACACCATGATCTCAGACTTCTGCCTTCCAGGGCTTGAGAGAATAAATTTGTTGTTTTCAACAAGTCACCAAGTTTATGGTAGTTTGTTACAGCATACACAGGAAATTAACAGAGTCTGGGCATCCTGCTACACCAGATGGCAAGACATCCCATCCCAGAGACCAATTTTGATTGTCCGGAGGACCCAGGAGCCCACCACAAAGCCCCTCCCCAGCCTTGTCTGAGCACCAGGAAGGATGACAACTCATGGAAGCACAAATCCGCTGAATGTGTGTGTCCTTGATACACAACAGACAACTTGATTGTGTTCGAAGGGTGCTTCGGAACCAGCTCTTACAAACTGATTAAACTAAGAGATCGGTGGGAGCACGCACTTCCCCTTCCTGCACAGACAGTGACCAAACAGGGTGGGGAGCTGGCTGGTCGCCGGGTGAGTCTCTCCCCCTCCGGTGGAGGGCGTTCTCAGACCCGAGACCACCATGCGGCCCGCTGACCGCGCTGAGGACAGCGGTGTTCTCCGAAAGCCCCCACCTCTGGAGCACTCTGGCCCCTAAGGCAAACTTGAATCTGATTCAGCCTCTGCGCTCAGTTATCAGTTAGCAAGAAATACTGAGGAAAACATGAAAAGATCCCAAGAGGGTGTAATCAGCAAAATCCTGACAGGAAGTCCCCAGACAAATGAGCAGCTTTCCGCAGCGCCGCCGCGTGAGGGGGCACACTTGGCCAGGGAGAGGGCTGCGTCTGGGGGTGTCCAGACCTCATGGGTCGTGTTCGTCGCAGTCAGTCTGAGTGTTTACCACGGTGTTTCCTGTCGTGTGTTCCAGCTAGCAGATGTTTTTGTTTGTTTTCTTTAGGGAGACTGAGCCCAGAGCAGGGGTCCCCCACCCCCAGACGGGTACCCCAGTGAGTGTCCCGCCACAAGACGCAGGTCAGAATCACAAGCCGTTTCGGGGTCTTTATTGCCAACCGGCAGGGAGTGCAGGTGGGCCCGTGCGGTCCCCCGGGCAGGGCTGCGGCGGCCGACGCTGTTCCTGACGGCGGCTGCGCCCGGGGCACCCGGCGGGTGAGGGGGTGGCGGGCCGTCACCAGCGCAGGGCGCCAGGACAGTACTTGTCAACGAGCGCCTGGTAGTAGGGCCGCAGCGCGGCTACGTCCGGCAGGCTGGAGCTCTTGGTGTAGAGGTCGAACTTGCTGCGGCACAGGGACGGCGGCCCGTGAAGCCCCCCGAGTCTCCCCGCCCCCCAGGCGAATTTGTTGAACTTCATCATCCGGTACATGTACTCTGTGGGAGAGGGCGGGTCACCACCTCTGGGCGGGCACCCAGAGGGGCAGCCCGAGTGGTCCCCGCCGTCCCCCCAACCGACCGGCCTCACCATCATGGCCCCAGGACATGAGGACGTTCTCGAGCCCACAGTGAGGCTGGTACATGCCAAGCTCCGTGCTGCAGAGGGGGACGGAAGGTGAGGAGCTCAGGAGCAGGACCCCCGGAAGGGGGAGGAGGGGGGAGGACCACGGCGAGGGAGGGCAAGGGAGCCACACCTGTACAGGGGGTCCTGGAGGTCAGGGTTGTCCTGGAAGGTGCAGTCACGGAAGACCACAGAGGCCTGGGGACGGCAGCCAACTGGGAAGGTGTCTCCTACCACTGCCCACTGGGGACGGACCGACGGGCAGCCGTGGGTGGGCATGACTGGCCTGCCCCCAAAGTGGGTGTCCAGAGCCTGGAGCGGAGGCTGCCCTGGGCCCTGTCCTGCTGACTGCCCTCCACCCCTCTCCTCACCTGGGGCTCCCCTGCCAGAGCCAGGACCTTCCCCAGGTCATGCAGGAGCCCGACGAGGTGGAACCAGTCTGGAGGAGAGGGAGGGACAGTGTAGGCTAGGAGGGTGCAGGGGCTGGGGCAGAGGCACAGTCCTGGGGCTGTGGGGGGATGCAGGGCCTACTGGGAGAGGGCCAGACCACTCCCCCCTTCCCCAGCACCCGTCAGAGCAAGTGGGGAGCACACCCTTGTCCGGATGGGCCTTCCGGATGCCCTCGGCTGTCTGGAAGGCATGGAAGGAGTTGGGGAAGTCCACGTCGGGGTCCGACTCGTCCACCAGTCCGTCTAGCATGTCCACAGCCTCCATGACAGTCATCCTCTTATAGGAGAAGCCCCCAAACTGGGCATGCTGGGCCAGAAGGGAAAGGTCAGTGTGGTCCCAGGGTCAGCCCTTGGGAGCTTGGGTTAGGAGTTGGCCACCTACCTTTCTCCTTACGAAGTCCACGGTCTGCCACGTGTGCATAAGCTTGTAGGTGGCGAAGACACGGTCCAGGAGCGGGCCGGACTGCAAGCCGGAAGGTCAGTCAGGCAGCTTGCCACCCCCTGCCCTTCACACCCAGGGGGCCACTGCCTGCCTCTCCCAGGCCTCAAGGTGTGGTCAGGGTGTCCCCAGGGTGGCCCCTGGAGCTGTGCAAGGGGACAGGGCAGGAGAGGCGGGGGCCGGAGGGGGAGCAGTCCTCACCGTGTAATTTCGGAAGCTGTCCTTGTCTCTGGCTGCTTCTGGCTCCATATCAGGCTGGGAAACCAGCGAAGGGTCTGGGTCCTGGTAGGGTGGGGGTGGTGGTGAATCCATTTCACCAGGATGCCAGCTCCATGAGGAAGAGAGGACACCCCATGGGGGCCGGGACTGTTGGATGTGGAGCGGCAGAGAGGCGGTGGGCGCCCCAGGGCACCGGCACGTGGCCTTGGTGAGCCTGAGTCAAGACTTCCAGCTCTGAGTCCTTATCTGCTGAGCGGATGCTGGGGATGTCTGCTCCAAGGGTGATGCTTGGCCACAGCCACACAGCACCCGCACCCAGAGTCTCCTTCTCAGGACGCGGGTCCGCAGGGAGCCCAGCGTTTGGGCCCGTGACCTTTGCCCCAGATAGACCACGGCCAGGAGGGAGCCCTTTGATCCCAAAGAGTGGGCCGGCAGAAACCCGCCGGGCATGGGCACAGGGCTGCCCCGCTTTCCCTGAGCACGCAGTCTGCGTGGGCCGGGGGTACTCACCGCAGCCACCTTCATCCTGAGAGGGGCAGAGCTCCACGGGCCCACGGGCCCGTATATATGCCCACAGATTACATAAGTGACCGGATACCACCCAGCCCCTTGGCCTTGGCCCTCGGTAATGAGTGACCATCCACCCTCCTGCTGGCCTCTGAGAGTTAATGTGTCAGCATAGCACTGCCCGCCCCCCACGCCCCCAGCCAACCTCCAAGTCCCTGCAGCAACTGACCTGCCCGGAAGGTTGAGGCGGCTGTGTCGCCAGACTCCCACCCCTGCCAGGAGCTTTAAACTCCTCCAGGATGCTGCCCCTCCCAGCTCCCTATCTTCCCCAGGCACCTGGGATTGGGGCAGGGTGGGGCTTATTTCAGAAAAATATTTTGACATTTTTTAAAGAATATCTGTTTATTTGGCCGAGCGGGGTCTCGACTGCAGGGCTCCGCAGTTGCAGTGCTAGGTGCTAGGTGTTAGTTGCTGGGTGCTCAATGGTGCGTGGGATCTTGGTTCTCCATCAGGGTCCTTAACCATGGGAGTTCCAGGGAAGTGCCCTTTGACACTCGTTCAGAAGGGATGGAAGACTTTATTCTTGATTGCCAGATGGGAGAGATGTTCATATGCTCCGCTAGAACACAGCAAGGTCAGCTGGAGTTTCACAGCCCGGGGGTGGGGTGGGGGACTGGGCAGGGGCCCGAGGGGAAATTCCCAGAGGAGAATCAGGGGTGGGGGCAGCCTTGCTAAACTTGACAGGATTCTGTCCAGGGTGGGATTCTTGCTAATACTGGGCGAGGCTCATGGCTGAGAGAGGCTCAGAGATCTCAGAGGGATCTTCTCAGGCCCTGGGGCTGAGGCTCCATCTCCAGGCAGGGCAGAGATGAACTCACGGCCCGGGTCACTCGAGAGCCAGGCTCAGCGGTGGACACACAGCAGGACCACACGGCCTGGAGCTGACAACGGTGTCATCGGAAAGAGGCTGAGGTCAGGGTGCAGTCTGGGCCAGGAGAGGGCAGTGGGCCAGGTGTTCTCCACGCGGCTCCTCCTGCCGTGCTGAGGGTCAGCTGGGGGTGCTTGGCCCCCGTTGACAACGGCAGAGTGCTCTCAGCCCTGCGAGCCGCAGCGCCTCCAGCACTCCGCGAGCCGGGCATCGCTCACTCTCTGTGTTCCTGAGGTCGGTTTCCTCTGCCTCCTCCCACGGACATGTCCGTCTCTGGGTTGGGGGGCTGATGTTTCATTCGCTGTTTCTACAAGTGCGCCGCAGATATTTGCTTCAAGGATGGAGAGGGGATGCCAGGGGGAGGCTGGACCCATCACCCCAAAGCAGGTTGGTGGCTTGGACCGAGGGAAGGAATAAAGTGCCGGCCAGCGGGTCTGGATGAGGGTGGGAGACGGGAGGAGGACCGAGAGGCTCTGGCCGGGAGCAGAGGGAGGGGGGTCGGTGGGGTCCCGGCGGGCATCCCCCAGGTCTCCAAGCAGGCTGTCAGACAGGCGGCCGGGACATGGCCTGGAGCTTGGAGGCCATGTGGACACCAGTGTGATGCTGTGACCGTGACAGGTGACCCAAGGAAAACGGCCCGAGGCTCAAGGAGCACCTGGGGGCCGGGAGGGGGGCGGGCACCGCAGCCCTGGGGGCCTCCTGGCAGGTCTTGTTGCCTCGTGGAGGCGCCGTGTGAGGCTGTGTTCCTGGAGGCGAAGATCCAGCACTGAACCGCGGGACTTTGCCCCAGGGCCAGGGCCGCAGGAGGTTTTGCCCAGCTGAGCTCCCGACTCTCTGACCCAGCCCTCCTGGGGCCTCCTCTTCTTCATCCTGGAGCCCCTCTAGCCCTCACGGCCTGCCCTCCCCACTGCTCTTCCGACACCCCTCAGTGACCACAGGCCTTTCCAGCCCCAGCGAGCGCCTATTCCAGCCTCCGCACGGCATCCAAGCTGCTGCAGCCACCCTCTCTCCATCCCCCAACCGGGCAGGGACCAGCCTGGGCTGACCTCCTGTGGTCAGGCGGGGGAGCCTGGAGCCAGAGGAGTGAGCACGAGGGTGGGAGAGCCCCACCCATGGGGTCCGCAGCTCAGGATCTGTGGGTGAGCACCGTGGTGCCTGCAGGCCCGGCCCTGCTGTCTGGCTGGGAGTTGGGGTAAAGGCGTTGCTCCCCTCATTCGGTGGCCGAAAGGGTGACACGGCAAACGTCAACAAATTAAGTGCTGCACGAAACGTCTGCTGAATAAGGGAACTCGAGCTTCTGAACCCCGTGAGACCTGGGTGCCAGGACGGGAGGCTCCCAGCGTGTAACTCCTCCCCCAGCCGCCACCCCGCCCACTGCAGACTCCACCTCTGGCTGACTTGTCCATTGATAACCAGGCCAGTCTCCTCCCCCAGCCTCCGCTTGTCCCCACACCTGGACCCACTGGGTCCCCGCGCTGGGCAGGGGAGGCTCAGGGAGCCCCTGTGGCCTGTGGAGCCCTGACCCTTGGTCAGCCACCCCTACACACCTTGAGCTAAGGTTCTGCCTTAATTGCGAGATTTGGGCTGGGAGAATTGCCACCCCCACCCCACTCCCACCCTGCCCTGGAGGGGTGGGAAGGGTGCTCTGCCTAGCTCCAGGACCCCTCCACCCTCTCCCCACCTGCCCTCAGGGGGTGCAGGCAGAGGTCTCTGTTGCTACCCTGGACCCAACTGGAGCAGCCCAGCCCTAACCCTACTACGTCAGGGCGAGTGGCCAACCCAGAATCCCTCTCTCCCACAGCCCAGAGGAGGCCCGGGGTGCTCAGGTCCCTGACGTCTGCCCCACGTCCTTGGGCAGACCCTCTCCTCTGCGCCCCGTTCTGGCATCTAATGTTGCCAACGGCCTCCCCTCAGCCCCGCCCCCCCCCCAAGTGTTACCCTCTCTCGGTGCAGAGCCCCTGGGCGATCAGACTCTGCTGGGCCCCCACGTGGGCCTCTATGTCCACAGCGATTGGAGGCTGGTTGCTGCAGAACGTGGCGGGGGATAGCGGGGCAGGGGTGTTCGCTGGTGCCTGCACTGCCCTTCTAGGGGCTTCTCTCTGCAGGCACTCTGGGTTGGGGGCTCAGCTGCCGCCCTGGGGCTGGGGTGCAGCATCCCAGCTGGGACAGGCCTGCCCCCCGACTCAGCCGTAGCTGTGGGGACTGCTGGGGTCCACGGGGGCCGAGGCCCGAGGGCCGGCCGAACTGACGAGCTGCCACAGGCGGTGGCTAAGGTTCTGCACCTGGCAGGTACCCAGCGCACAGCCCACACGCAGGAGCTGGGCTCTCGGCCTGCGGGGACCCAAGTGTCGGCGGAGGACATTGCGGAGAGGCTGACCCCTGGCAGGGACCAGGCTGACACTCTTCTTGGGCTGGAGGGCCTGGTGCAGCTTCCAGACAGCAGGAAGGGCTGCAGGGTGCTGAGGCTGTGAGCCACTGGCAGGCGTCCGGGCTGGGGGCTCCCTAAACAGGGAGATGGAGGAAGTAAACCCAGTGGTCCAGCCTTCCAGGGAAGCCCACAGCTTTCCAACAGCCTGGAGCATGGCCAGGGGAAACCCACAGCCCCCAAGCCACTGGCCAGTGGGCTAGGGGAAGCCCACCCCACCCCCCAGGCTGGAGCTCGGCCAGGGGAAGCCCACAGACCCCACGCCATGGCCCAGCAGGCCAGGGGAAGCCCACAGACCCCACGCCATGGTCCAGCAGGCCAGGGGAAGCCCACAGACCCCACGCCATGGCCCAGCAGGCCAGGGGAAGCCCACTGAGCTCAGGGCTGGGGTTCTGGCCCTCAGCCATCTCAGTAGCCCATTCAAGGGCTGGCAAGCGGCTGCCTGACCTCCCTGGGCTACTCTGCTCAGGACTCAGGTTTATGCCGTCTCAGCCCTTCCCTTGGGGTGGGGGACGGTGGGCAGGTATGGGAATGCCCTTAACCTCCCCTCCCACAGCTGACCTCTCCTTCTGAGGGGTCTGCTCTGCCAGTAGGGTAGTGGGCATGCCTTAGAAGGGCAAGCAAAGAAAAAGGAGCCTTCTGCCCTGCGGGGGGTGCCCAAGGCCTGGGGCTGGATTTAGCAGGTGAGCCTTAGCAGCAGAAGCGGGTTTCCCCCCCCAACCCGGGGTCCTGGGGCGTTGGCGGGGTGGGGCGGGATGGGGCCTTCCGGAGCATCTGGTTTCCTGCCCAGGCAGCCAGGGTGGTCTGAGACCTGCTCACCTGGGTTGCATGGGCGGCCGGCTCCCGGCCAGGCCGAGGGACAGCGCGCCTGGGAGCTGTAGGTAGAGGAGGCTGATGCAACCGAGGGTGACCGCCAGGAGCCCGGCCATGCGGGCGGGGCCGGAGGGGGCGGCGAGCCGGGCAGGTGTGGGGGGCAGCCCCAGGCCTGCAACGCTTCCGCGGGCGCCTCGGGTCAGTTGGCGAGGGTCTCCGCCAGGCAGCGGCCGGGCGAGTCTCTTGCAGGTGGTGTGGGCACCTCCTCCGTCACCTTGTGCCCAAAGTCCTGCTGGGGCCGGAGCCCCAGCACCTCCCGGACTAAATAGTCTCCCAGGGAGGCGGAGCCAGACGCGCTGGCGGGGCGGGGTCCCACCCTTCCCCACCCCTGCCCACCCCTCCCCACCTGGACCCCCACTAGGGCCGCTTCTGGGAACGGGGCGGCTGGCCGGGGACCCCGGGAGCCAGTCTCGCCTCCACCTCTTTCCGATGGGAGACCCTGTCCCAGGGCCTGCCCAGCTGTCCAGGGTGATGGAGAGGGTGCCGCGGGGTGTGGTCGTGGGTCTGGATCCCGCCCACCCGCCCTGGGGCTCGCCCCTAAATTTCTGAGCCAGTGAGAGGTAGAGGCCAGGCCAGAGGAGATTTTGAGACCCCTCCCCAGTAGAGCGCCCAACAGCTCTATTCCTGAAAACTCTCCCACTCTCCCAGTGGGTTTCCCCCGGTGGCTCTGATGGTAAAGAATCAGCCTGCAATGTGGGAGACCTGGGTTCGGTCCCTGGGTTGGGAAGATCCCCTGGAGAAGGGGAAGGCTACCCACTGCAGTATTCTGGCCTGGAGAATTCCATGGACCATATAGTCCAGGGAGTCGGACACGACTGAGCGACTTTCACACATTTCCTCCCATTATTGAAATATTAAATGGTTTTTGTAAGAAATTTAAATAGGTAAGGACTCTTAATTGCCACCCACTGTGGATTCCTTTCCCAGGCCAGGATGGGTGCTGTTTTTTTTTACTTCCTTTTATGTGCATTTCTTTTGGGGGGGGGGTGTCCTGTGTGTGTGCATTATATATGCACACATATCCATATGCGGGCAAAAACATCTGAAAGCTCCAATAGTGTGGCTACCTGATGGGAAGAGGCAACTCGCTGCAAAAGACCCTGATGCTGAGAAAGATTGAAGACAGGAGGAGAAGGGGACAACAGAGGATGAGATGTTTACACAGCACCACAGACTTGATGGACATGAATCTTTACAAACTCCTGGAGATAGTGGGTGACAGAGGAGCCTGACATGTTACAGTCCATGAGGTCACAAAAAGACACAACTTAGCAACTCAACAATAATGACAACAAACATAGAGACTGCCATTCTTTCTTATGACTGAGCCTACACCAACAAGTAGGTGTTCTGTGACTTCACTGATCTTTTACTGGGGGACAATTAGGTGATTTCCAGGCTTTCCAAGCACAAGTACCCTGCTTCATGAGCTCATGGATGTGTCCCCACAGGATATATTTGCAGGCATGGGAATTCTGGCTAAAGGTGAGCCCGTGTTTGTGTTGATGGGTGGAGCCAAACTGCTCTCCAGAAGGCTGATGTACTGTCAGCTGATAATGGACTTGGTGCCAAGGTTCCTCACCCCTTTGTCCATCTGAGAGGGGACAGTTATCCCATCACGCCTGCAGACCTTTTTGATCGCCTGTGCATCTCTGTGTTAGTGCTTCCTCTTCTGTCTTCCCATCCCAATCTTGCTCACTCTGTGAGGTCATCATAAGTGTCCTGGTCACTCTCCCTGCCTCCTTCGGCACAGGCCACGGGAGCTCAACAAACACTAGCCGGATGAATAAATTAACAAGTGGTGGCCATCTGCCATGTTAAACAGCTTGGTCTATGTCCTGAGGCAGGTAGGGAAGCATCAGCAGGTATTCTCGTTTCTATTTATTTTTTCCCGAAGGAGGGTGGGTGATGTGATTACATTTATGTTAGAAAAGTGGGATTCAGCAGGGACGTCGGTCTGGTGCTGGCAGGAAGGATGTGGTGGATGGGTGGATGGGTCAGAGACACAGAGTGGGGGTGGGGGGGCAGACGAGGGGAGAGTGGGGGAGGGGTTAGCTACCCTACCTGCTGGCAAGAATGTCTGGCTGGCCTCCAGTGTTCCAGGCCAGGGGCTGAAGAGAAGGCAGAACTGGAGCACCATCTGGGGAGTTTCGGAGCTGGCACGTCTGCGGGAGGCGGAAGCGTGGTGGGCATCACCCTCAGACCGTGCAGAGAGAGGACAGAACCTGGAGTGGGAGGGGGGCAGGCAGAGGCCCCCCACCCCCCTCAGTGTGCTGTACGCAGTGCTGCCAGGATCGTCCTTCCAAAACACAAGTGATCACATCCCTCACCCACCAACAAAGGAGAACTAGCGTGTTTCCTGGTGGGCCAGTGCTTAAGACTCCACGCTTTCAGTGCCAGGGTGTGAGTTTGATCCCTGGTTGGGGAACTAGGATCCCACAATCTGTGTGATGTGGCCCAAAATATTTTCTTAATTTCTTAAATTTACTTTACTTATTTTTTAAAAGCTTCTCTCAATTTACTTATTACTTTTGGTTGCTCCGGGTCTTTGTGGCCGCACACGGGCTTTCTCTGGTTGTGACAGCTGAGGCTCCTCTTCCCTGCGGAGCGCGGGCGCTTCCTCGTGGTGGTCTCTCTGGCTGTGGAGAGCGGGCTCTGGGCTCAGCGGCTTCATCACTGCAGCACTCGGGCTCGGTAGCTGTGGCGCATGGGCTTAGTTGCTCCTCTGCATGTGGAATCTTCACAGATCGGGAATCGAACCTCTGTCCCCCGCTGTAGCAGGTGGATTCTTCTCTATTGCACCACCACGGAAGTCCAAAATTTTTCTTTTTTTTAAATAAAGGAAAAAGAAATCAAAATTCCCAGTCTCTATGTTAAGTGGAGGAAAGCCGCAGCAGTGTCCGTCTGCATTCTTCCTCTCAGAACACTTGCTGCCACCAAAGGCCTGGGGTACTGTTGCCCCCACAGCCCTGGGCAGGGCATTCTCTGGCCTCAGAGCACAGCCTGGGAGCTTATTTCACCCCATGGCTCCGGACTGGGGCAGAGACCCCTGTGAGCCTACAGCCCCTGCGTGGCGCAGCTCCTGGCACTTGTGGTCTTTAACTGTCCGTGTGCTGCTCCCCCAGGGGAAATCCACAGGCTTCCCCCACTGGTGCTCAGTGCAGGGCACTTCTGGGGCTGACAGGCTGGCCACGCGAGCACTGCTTGGCCATGGAAACAAACAAGAAGCAGAGCAGGGAATTGCAGGAGGTGGGCGTGCTGGTGACGGTGGAGGAATGCTTTGGAGAGTTCAGCATGGGGCAGGAAAAGCCGGGGCGGCCTCTGGCTGCATAGACGCGTCTAGTGAGGTTTCTCTTGAGTGTCTTAGGTGGGAAAGACTGAGTTTGATCCTGATGGTGAGGATCCTACAGAGGGAAAGATGAGGCTGGGGCACCAACAGCAAACAGCCCGAGGTGGGTAGGGGGCAGGAGGAGCAGAACTTCTGTGTAACTGTGGCAGGGCGGGGGGAGGCCGGGGAGGGGAGGGCCAGACTTGGGGTGATGCAGGTCTGTTTTCTCTGTGAAGGAGGCCAGCGGGGTCATCTCTGAGACACTGGAGGGGGCACCAGAGGTTTGAGGAAATTGCAGAGCGAAGAGCGCTGGCCAGACATCAGCTGGCTTGGTGGTGGGGAGAGCAGCCACGCACAGCTGAGGCCGCGGCGTCGCTCTGGTGTCACTCCGCACCAGCTGGTGGCACGGGCCTGGAGGAGGCAGGTGGGCAGGACTGTGCATGGCTGGGCTTTGTCAGCTGGGTACAGTGAAAACAGTCGGGGAGGCGGGGGCGACGGTGTCGGCAGGGTGACAGGCATTGGAGCCATGCTAGGTGGGGGTGAAAGGACAGAAAGGGAGCCAAGGGGCCCAAGGACTGGAAAAGGCGAGCCTGCTGTAGACCGTCAGGAGGGGAGGAAGAACCTTGAGGGGGACAGGGGCAGGGTGCTAGCAAGAAACCTGAGCAGGGGTATCACGGTCCAGAAGTGACCCTAACCCTACCCTTGACCCTAAAGTGTGTCTGAGAGGGCTCAGGGAGTGGGCTCCTTCCAAACAGGGCATGAGGGTGGGGGAATACGGGGGGAAGGGTCCCCACCATCTCTGCAGGAGAGCCCGTCCTGGGCTCAGGCGCCAGGCCAGAGGGCTTGTCGGGGACACTGCCTGCCCATGCATGCGCTCAGTGGCGTGGCAGTGTGGTGGCCAGGACCTTTTGGGGTAGAAGTGAGAAAAACCAACTCCAGACGGCTGGGGCAGAAAGGAGGGGTCTCATCCCAGTACTCAACGGAAGCAGAAGAGGCTCTGACGGGGCCTGTGCCCGGGGCAGGGGCGGGGGGGCCCGGTGGTCCTCTCCTTCAGCCCTCTCTGGGTTGGGTTTTCGGGGCTCCCGCTTGCGAGGGGGGAGCAGGACCGTCAGTAGTCTGCTCCTTCACAGGTTCTTAAAGCGCGACACTCATCCAGAAAAGAGCTCCCCGTCCCAGCGTGTCAGCGGCAGCCCCGAGGCTCCCCGCACCGCGTGGCGCCTCTCCTAATGTCTGGCCCAGACTCTGAGTCCCTCCTGCCCACCCATGTGCTATGCGGGGCCCGAGGGTGGGCGGCACTGCCGGGACCCTCAGCGGATCAGCCTGCTCCCTGCTGTTCACCGCAGGGTGTGCGGCGCGCTGTTTTGAAGATACGTATGTTAAGCGTTTCGCCTCACTGAGACCGGGCTCTCGAGTGGGGCCAGAGAGGGCAGGCCTGAGTGGGCCCCCTCCCTTGCCAGCCTGGCGGCCCCGGGACGTCCCAGGGCCCCTCCCAGTCCCGGAGGCCCGTGCGCAGGGCCGCGCCTTCCAGTCTTCCTCCGGGCTGACAGCGCTGGCGGGGAGACCCTGGGAGCCGCGAGAACCCGAGACTGAGAGCTCCCTGGGCAGGGCCCGAGTCCCACCGCCCTGCGAGGGCGCCGCGGCCGCGGGGCACGCTCCCAACCCCAGCCGCGCTGGCCTGCGACTCGGAGCCGCCGCGGCTGTCACCAACTGGGGGCGGGGAGACGCGTAGCCCCGCCCCTTGAGCGCGGCCCAATGAGGGCGCGCCGCTCCGGACCCCGCCCACCGGGGGCGGCGCGAGGGCGCGCAAGCGCGCGGCACGGCCGGGCGGGCCGGCGGGCTGGGAAGATGGCGGCGCGAAGCCTGGTGGCCGCCGCGGACCTACNCCTGCAGCCAGGGTTGGGGCTGAGGGACTGCTTCTTCAAGAGGCGGCGTTGGAGCCGGAATTCGGAGGACTTCGGGAGGAACCGTGGGGAGGAGAGGGGAGTGTTCTGGCAGAGGGCCTGCCCACCTCATACCTGCCCGCCAAGCCGCCAAGCCCCGGGGGGGAGCTCGGCCTGGTGACTGGTGCCCATGGCTGAGGGGAGGGGGCGGTCTGTGTCTCGGGTCACCACCTGTGTCTGAGAGCCCTTCAGCCCAGGGGGTAGGAGAAAGCCTGACGATGACATCAGCACCGGCCCGTGGAGACGTCGCGTTGGGGAGTGCACTGTGTGCCAGGCCCTGCATTGGCCTTTGTGTGCATGAGCGCGATTCCTCCTCCCTGCAGCCCACGAGGCTTCCCTGTTGTTGCCCCCGTCTGTGCACTGGAGTCGGTGCAGAGGGGTTGAGTGCATGGTCTGAGCCGCTACAGAGGGAGTGGGACTCGCATTCAAGCTAACTCAGAGCCTCACTGTGGGCTCAGACCTCAACTACAGGAGGGCAGGCATGGTTTTGGGGGTGTTGGGGACGGCTGTGTGGTCCCCACACAGCCCCTGAGATTGGGGCTGAGCCTTGAGCCTGAGGGTGGGGTCAGGACCCCCCAGTCTGCCCTGCTTCTTGACGTGCCGGCTGCCGCTGTCACCCTCCCTGCCTTGCGTCTCGCCGAGCCTGCGCCTGCTGGGCCCCTCACCCTCCTCAGTGCCCTTTGGCACAGCACTCACTGCTCTCTACCTGTCCTGTCCACCGACACCCTTGGTCCTGAGCACGTCTCTCCCTTCAGGGAGGGCGCTCTTCTGGGCCAGGATCAGTTGTCCTCGCCCAGCAGCCTGCATGTGGCAGGCTGTCAGTGTTGTACAGGCCCAGCAGGAGAGCCATCTTCTCCAGGACACGTGGGGTGGGGGCAGCGAGAAGCCCGTGCCACCTGCAGCAGGGGGTGCACAGGGTCTGGGGCGGCCGGGCTGGCTGAGGTGCGGCCGCAACTTGGGGGCCCCAGGACTGCATAAGCAGTGTGGGCTTGGGGCTGAGGGCACTGCGGGCCGTGTGGGGAGGTCTGAGGAGGCAGAAGCTGGGGGCGGCATGCTGATGGTGGCGGCAGCTGGAGTGAACGTCAGGGGGAGGAGAGGTGGCCTCGGTGGGCTCCAGGACAAGCTGGCGGTGGGCACCCGCGGGATATGTGGCCTCTGAGCACGACAGGGGAGAAGGCTGATGCCACAGTGCCTGTCACCCTGAGTGACAGGAAGGAGTGAGCCTCAGGATGTCCCCTGCAGTAGGGCTGGGGGCCATGGAACCCCCTAACCACTATCTTCCGGGATTGGAGCTGGTCAGCTGTTGACTGGCCACCTCGCCTCAGGGCCTGCTTTGGCAGGACTGGTCCATCCTGTGAGGAACAAGCCCATGGCTGAAGCAGAGGAGCACGGCCTGAGGCTCCTGCCTTGCCTCTTGATGCCTCTGTGACCTCGGGCCAGTCTTTCGGCCTCTGCGCCTCAGTCTCCTCTTCTGGTGATGGGATGAGTCACAGAGGCCTCCCTGCCGGCTGCCGTGAGCACGAGATGGGCATGCACCCATGACGCGTTCACACAGGAAGTTCCAGGAAGTGACGGGTGTCTTGTTAACGCTGGGCCGCACATGTGTGGACACTTCATGGTGGTGGGCTCCTTTGCTGGAGGTAGAGGACCCCTGCCTGCTGGCAGGCCTCGGACTCGAGGCCAGGGTCCCGGGGCTTTTGGGTTCAGTGGAGAGAGTAGGCGTGGTGGGTGTCTTGTCCCTGGCTGGCATCTGGACATCTTCCTTGCCTGAGGGAGCATCCTGGGACTACCTGGCAGAGGGCTGTAGGTAGCAGGGCAGGGAGGGGCTGGGGTGGGACCCTTCCATTCATCTCAGAGGTTGCAGGCTCCTCTGCTGATGAGTTGGGGGCGCTCCTCACTGAGGCCCTGGGTTTAGCACATTTTACACCCTGGCCCAGCTCTGGGTACGTCATGGGGGCCAGAGAGCCCCCCCCCGCCAATGCCCATTTCCTGTCCAGGGTGGTCTCATCTGAGGAGAGGGCTCTCCCACCCTGGCCTCACTCCTGACCGCGCTGAGCCAGTCACCTCTCCCCACCCATGGCCCTGCCCCATTCTGGAGCAGGTCGGAGCTGTGTGGGCTGGCCGGGGCTGGGAGCCCGAAGGGTCCAAGGCCTTGGGTCAGAGTCAGGCTTGTCTGCCTGGGAGGTTGGAGAGGCTGCAGCCCCTCTGCCTAGTCCTGCGCTCTGGCCTCGGGGGTGGGGGCATGGGGTGGGGGGCCCTTGCTGAGGTCTGGGGCTGGAGCAGTGGGAGGCTGCTGTCTTTCCCATGGCCCGGTTGGTCTCCGGGCGTGGGCGCTGAGTCGGGGGCCAAGCGGGCTGCCCGCCTCCCGCTGCCTCTGCCCTCAGCACTTGCCGGCCTGGGCTGGCCCGGGCACCGGAGCCTGGCACTGGTGACGGCGTTGCTGGGGATGACAGACGCACACTCTGTGCTCCCCCCGCGGGGCTGACTGTGCGGAGAGTGGCTTGCTGCAGGAGGAAGCTGTTGAGCCAACTGCGTCTCAGGGGGCCTCTGCGCCCTTCCTCCAGGCCCCTAGAGGCTGGCCCTGTGATGCCCCGCCGTGCTGGCTGGGTTAGTTCTCGGGGGGGGG